TGCAACATGGAGTCTGAGTGTTAAAAACATTGCACTCCAGCATTACCTCAGGTTTTTCCATAGGTAGCAGAGACCTTGGAGGCCGCGTGTCCAGAAAGTTCGTTAGCCAGATCCTAACACCAGGTTAGAGGGAGCCTGGCAGAAGGGAGGTTGAGGTGGCGGCACCTTGTCCTCAATTCCCCCAGGGTTAGGAGCTCACAGCCAGGTTAGATGGGTCTCTGAGCTGCCTGAGGTGGGAGGTGTCCCTGTCCATGCTTTTATAAAATTTCTCAGTGTTTCACATAGGCACCGAGGCAGCATTCTTTATACAGAGACCTAAAGGGAGAAAGATATCAAGAAAGCTCAAGTCTTGTTTCCAGTACATACGTGTATGTGGCACCTTACAGAATGGGATATTTCAGAAGCACTGCAGTGACTTGTGAAAATCAAGAGCAGCCTAGTTTCTAGGCACCTGAGAAACTTTTATGTGTGCAGCTGCTATTGAAAAAAAATGAGAATATATAGAAGGGGGAAGGAAATCACAGTTTATAAACCTACTTATTATTTTCATGTTTTATATCATGAGTAAAAAGTGTGAAGCTGGTGTTTTGAATAATTTGAAAATACGAAGCTAGAAAAAATTTTAAGAAAAGTTTTCTAGGTGAAAAGTCTTCTAGGTTTCCTTTCCTGCTCTTCTCATGACTCTTGGCAACCATACATCTAAATTAATGCACTCATTAAGCATGTAACAATAACTTCTATGAGAAACACTTCAGCTTTAATTTGTGAGTGGTTCTATAGCATAATAGTGACTTGGAATTAATTTATTTCCTTTTTTTCCTCTCAAAATAAATTATTTAATCCTGCAGAACCCTTGGGAACCAGGCAAGCTTTTAGTATCTCTATAAAAAATTTGTAACAAAGAAACAAACTTTAATATTTACAAAGCAGATTGCATATTAATCCATGAGCAGCTCTCCCTTAAAATCAAAGAATCTTAGAAAAATATTAGAAGTGACCCCAGGCAGTTGATTCAGACCAACTCCTGCTGAAAAGAGAGCTAAATTCAAAGTTAGATCAGGTTGCACAGGGCTTTATTCAGGTGTTTTGAAAAGCTTCAGGAATGTATATGCCACATCTTTTGGCAGCCTGTTCTAGTGCATACCCACTCCCATGCTGAAGGACCTGTAATCATGAGACCTCTAGTTGTTTAAAGAAGCTTCATCCATTTATTTGTCTTGAGAGAGCAACCAGCAGCAGATTGTTGGCTTCTCCTTGAACTCTGGCACATAACCTCACAGCTGGACTCTCACTAATTCCACAGCAAAACTCCATGCATTTGAGCACATCCTTTGCAACCACTCTGTCAGTTATATAAGTTGTCCTCCAACACTACAGAATAATTTGTAGTATTGTATTATCTCCACACTAAATTGGCTGTTCCTCCAGTGAGTTGTGACACAACTGGCTTCGCTTTCTTCACCTTTTGCTCTAAATAAAAATGATTGGAAATTCCTGTCCAAGTCACCAAACTAGTTTTGTGACTCAGAGAAATGAAAGGCTACTTGCAAAAACTGACACTGGGACAACCTTTCCTCACCTTTCCTCAAATCCCAAACCTGAGTAAACTCTCTGCATGAATTTAGTAGGTCCATCAAGAACCTTCCGGACAAATATTTGTAAGCCTTATTTGCGCTAAATTAATGTGACCACATTTTCACATTCTGAAGGACTAGCAAAAGATTAAATAGTAAATCTGGAGGTATATCACAAGAAAGCAGCACAGAAGATTATCTTATTGTACCTGTGTTTGAACAGCACCTTAACATACAACCTGGTTGCTCTACACCTCACAAGCACAGAGCCTACCTAATATAGTCACATTAAATTGGCTTCCAAAGGACTTAAGGAAAACTGTGTCATGATAAATTATATGCAAAAGGATAATCCTAACCAAAACATTACATAAGATTTGCATCTCAAAAAATAGTAAGTTTGTTTCCGTGGATGAAGAAAAAAAAAACAACAAACAAGAGTTTTTAATACATTTCTCAAAGCTCAGAGATAAGAAAAACAAGTTACAGTGCTTCTATTAGTATAAGATTTTCCACTAAAGCATAGAGAGAAGATAAGCAATAACTTTTCCTGCTTTTGGCTTACTGAACATTTTTTGTTTAGTGAAATGGCTTTTTGCCTGAAAAGTGCCTGAAAGGTGCTTTCTATGATTCTGTACAGGAACAAGTATAACATTTTATACATTTATCATAACTGTAATTTGTTCTTGAATGAAGTTTTCTTATGCCCTTTGGCTACTGCTATTGTGCAGTTTAAGGTCATAATGACCTCTCTCAGCTATAGGCACACTGGAGGACTATATATAAAATTTCTTAAAGCAGTAATTCAGAGCTTCTAAATGGTGTGGGCAGGTCAGTTAGTTTCAGAGCACTGAACACCATCAAACTTTTGACAATATTCCTATCTCACTTTCCTCACTGTTCCTTTCCATCTTATTTTACCTGTGTAAGTGTGGCCATAAACCACTAGGGTTGATTAAATCCTCTGGAATATTAACAGAGAGATAAGATACGCTTTTGCTCAGAGCAGAGTCCCATGGTGCTTCATTAACTTAGTTTCCAAGTGCTTCAAACAGAAATTAGCTGATCCAGGAGCTCTTCCAAGTTCCTATGCCCAAAGGAGCCCTGGCCATGTTACTCCTTTTAAGAATACGAGATTCCTAAGTATCGGGTATGATCCCCAAAGTGAGAAAGGGAAGTAGACTGCTGGGTAGGGGTACAACCTTCCACTGTGCTAATTCCCAAACCTAGGTTCCCTGTATATTATAGAGGATAGCTGGGTGTTCCAGAGTGGTATCTACAACAGCCAGCACACAATTGTTGAGGGCAACTTGTCAGGCATCTGGGTTTGACTTGACACTGTGGCAGAGTACCCTGCTCACAGTATTGAAGTCAGGGCTTTTGCACAATAGGGCCAGACTACTGCGTAGAATAATATAAAGCAGGAGACTGGACTAATATAAGAAATATTGGCTGTTTGGTTTTTGTTTGTTTTTTTGTTAGGTTTTTTCCCCCCTTTTTTTTTTGTTGTTGTTGGTTTTGTTTTGTTGTGATTTTTTTTTAATGTAACTGTCTGGTCATTTAGAAGGTTTTTTTCTCTTACAAAATTTCAAAGCATGCAACTGCTGTATCATTGCTGTATTGCAGTTTGCAACATTTCTGCTTTCTACAGGACCCATCCAGTGGTCTTATACTAAGATTTCTTAGCACAGTGGGCTCTGCAGATGAGGTTAGCTGAAGTCCAGTGTCTGGAATTCATCCCAAACTCAGGTTTTGTCTGAACTCAGTTTTTATCTGCAACAGCAAGTAGCGTGGTACAGTAGGAGCAGTCCTGTAGTGCCAGCTCTTGCTGTTGACAACAGGCTACCTACACTATATGTGGACATGGACACAACCTAACTACAGACTTTATATCTTTAACATCAGCTGTCTCCCTAGCTGGCACTTCAGCATGGGTTCCGAGTACAAATACCTGTGCAGAGGCCAGAAGGTCACATCTGTGTGCTAAGTTTCTCTCTATTTGTGGACCTGAAGGTAAAGCCTCATCCCAAAATTGACAACTAAACTGAATGGAGAGGTTTTTCCAAAACAACACAGCTGAGATTTTAAGAGATGGAAAAAAGACTCCAACAAAGCCAAGTGTGTGTGAGGCTTGTCCCCTTCTCCCAAATAGCAAGTGGTAGAATGAGAGGAAACAGCCCAAGTTGTGCCAAGGGAGGTTGAGATTGGATATTGGGAAAAATTTATTCACTGAAAGGGTTGTCAGGCACTGGAACAGGCTGCCCAGGGAAGTGGTTGAGTAACCATCCCTGGAGGTATTTAAAAGACCTGCTTAGGAACACAGTTTAGGGCCATGCTAGGTTTATGGTTGGACTCAGTGATCTTAAAGGCTTCTTCCAACCTGAATGATTCTATAATTCTAAACCAGCAGCTGGGGTGCACACGCATTGTTTGGGGTTGAAATGCCATAAATTGGAAAGAAACACAGAGCAGAGAGATATGTGAAAGCCAAGTCACATTCACAGGGACAGGTATCTCTCTGAAGAGTCTTTATAACCTTTCAGAGGGTTTTGGGTACTAGGGTACATTATTTCTTAAAAGAAATATTTTAAAATAACGACTTTCACCCTTTTTTCCCCTCTCACGTTTGCCCTCCTGGTGTTGCCAGCTCTGGCTTGTGCCCTGCGGAGCCCGGCACGGCACAGCCCTGCGGGAAACGGCCACGGAAAACACCGCGTTCCCTCATCACCGCTCGCTGCAGCCAGTTGAAAGAAGTACGGGGTGGCAGGATATCGAGGGCAAGCACGGGGAGAGGCAGAGGGGAGGTGGCCTTGCCTGCTATCCCTGTCCCTGGGCGGTGGGAGTGCGCGGAGCCCTCCCGGCCGGCAGGGCTGAGGCGGGAGCCGCGGAAGGGGGTGCGAACAACCGGCAGG